GCCACGCGGCACGTGTTTTTTTTTTTTTTTTTTTTTTTGCTGGTGCAGCTACTTCTACTCCTCCTCGCCCTCCGCATCTTCTTCCATATCTTCCTCCTCCACCATATCTTTCTTGTCTGTATCCTCCTCGTCCTCGTCCTCTTCCTCTCCCTCCTCCTCCCCCTCCTCTTCTTCTTCCTCCTCCTCTTCTTCCTCTATATCTCCCTGTGCAAGATAAATGCAGGGCATATTTTCATTTGGCGCACCGAGCGCACAGGCCGCGAAGCCCAGCACACGGAGCGCACAGCGCACAGCTCATAGCGCACGGCGCACAGTGCGCTCGCTGCAAAATGTGCGCCCCGCGCACAGCGCACCGCCTCGCTCAGCGCACCGCATCAGGGCGCCGCAAGTATGGTCTGGAGCTGTGCTGATGACAATTGAGGAGGATAAGGAGGAGGAGATGGAAGGCGACAGCAACGACGAAAGGAGGATGGGCAGTGGTGGTCGCTGGCACCTCAATGTCTCTTGAGGGTTGCTGATACTGACTTGATGAAGATCCGGTAACTGTAGTCGGCAACACTGGCATATGATTGCAATGTCAACACAGGGCTTGTGGCTTTTCATCGTTAGGGCTCTGAAGTGGTGGGGTTTTTAAAATGGTGAGTTTGTTTCAGCCGTGGAAAGAGATCAGTCTACGTGTTTCCAACATGATTTTTTGCGCAGGCCTTACCCTATTGCCGATCGGCGGACTCATGGATGTGTGCCACACTTGTCTTGCTTCACTCCTGAGTGCGTGTGCAGGTTTTGCCATTGGCGAGTTTGTTTCGGCCGTGGAAAGAGATCGGTCTACGTGTTTCCAGCACGATCTTTTGTGCAGGCCTTTCCCTATTGCCGATCGGCAGACTCATGGATGCATATCTCGCTCGTCTTGCTTCACTCCCGAGTGTGTGTGCAGGTTTTGCCATATGATTTGCTAATGGACCAATTGGATGTGTCAAATGTGCGGGAGTTGGAGGACCTGTTGATCAATGAATGCATGTACACGGTGAGAACTCGTAAGCTCATCAATGAACAACTGTACTTGTCCATTTCACACAATGAGACCTCCTTTGCACAGCATATCTGTGCCACTCTTTTTTGGCCCTGGTGCTGTCAACGATCTAGCTCTGCTTGCCTGGACATTTTCTCTGATGCTGTCAAAAGCACTATTGCCCAGGGCTGGGCCGGCAACCAGCCGGTCGAGCTTGCCCGGTCCAACCGGGGCTGGACCGGCCCAGGGGGGGTCAACTGCCAAACCGGATGGTTCAAAAAAATGCCAATTTTTTATTATTGTTATTATTTTTTTGCGGGATCGGACTGCGCTTGCTGAGATCTGTCTGATTCCGCAATAACACTTGGACTGTTGGAGATTTTTTTTAGGGGTGTGCCAGAGTGGAAGGGGGGGGGGGGGGGGGGGGGGGGG